GGGTTTAGCGTTTAGGGGTTTAGAGTTTAGGGTTTAGGGTTTAGAGTTTAAGGGTGGGGTGTCAGAACAGGAAGCCCGACTATACAACCCGAACAGCATCGCCCGAAAGACAGACTCCAGTATCCCGCCGGAGTCTATGCACAAAGGTGTGATAAAGTTCATGACACGCCATGGCCGTTGGGAACATTCAATCAGAGCCCCATATAAACCTAACCATGTTTGCCAGGATGGTGATAATGATCGTGACGGTGATGACGACGGTGATGATGATGATCATGATGATGATGATGATGGTAATGATGCTGATGATGATGATGACGATGATGATTCGGACGAGGAGGAGGAAGAGGAGAAGGAGGAGGAGGAGGAGGAGGAGGGTGAGGGTTAGGGTGAGGGTGATGCTGGTGATAATGGCGGTGATGATGGTGATGATTACGATGACGACGACGACGACGACGACCATGGTGACGACGACGATGAAGATGATAAGGAAGAGAAAACACGACTAGAACGAAGAATGCTTTCAAGAGAATGACAAAGATTTTTGGTTGATTCCAGCCAATGACAATGATCATCACAGAAAATCAACAGCAAGCACATCGAGAAGAGGCTCCAATGCAAAACGAAAGCTAGCGTTGCCGTCAACAACGCGTTCACTACCACCATGATCGTCACCACCTACCACCACCAGCGTTCATTGTCGTCACAGTTCTCACTGCTCGCTGCCCGAATGCGCTCCCGTAGCATAGAATGTACAACCGTCGCAATCATCACATTCATTGTCGTCGTCCTCCTCCTCCTTGCTTACAACATGGAAAGCACGTGGTAATGAAATCGTGCATTGAAACAGTACCAACAGTAGATTCTTGTCATATTGTTGTTATATAATATCAATGGAAGCCGAGAAACTGCAGGAAAAGAAAAGCAAGACCAGAAGTCAAGTAGCCGGAGACAGAAAAGCAGCATGAGATAGCATGAGCACGTTGACACCGACTACAACCCAGTCAGCAACAAACAAAGCAACATCCAAAAAAAAACAAAAAAAACTAAAAACAGCAGGAAACAAACCATACCTATGGTTAGGTTCAAACCCCAAACGTCTCTCAGACAAACTAGGGCCCTTTAAGGAGCCCCCGGATATTAGGCGAATCTCAGGCACCGACACAGTGATCGATGCGCTGGACAGCGCCTTTTCGAGCACCTTCTCACGGATTTTGTCTAAGCAAATCAGGGCAGAAGGGCAGTTTATTGTATACTGTAGCATATTCAAGTATACTGCGGTATATCACGGAATACTATAGCATATTATTCTAAGAACTACAGAGCTTCCCGAAACCTCGACTTCATTGGGAGACACCAAGCTAAATCGGAACTGGACACAGAAGTGCTTCCGAACTGCACAGCTCTTGCCGTGCTCGTTTGTTTGTTGTTGTTTTTTTTTGGGGGGGAAGTATACTGTGCTATAAAAGAGTGTATTTGGCCATGCTGCTCTACGCCGACAGCAGCGGCGGTGTTCCACCTCAATCAACCCAGCACCTCCACGGGCGTCATTGAGCCTTGCAGGGTTCCTACACGGGCCCTCAATCCCAACAAGATCTGTGCCACCCTGCCCTCCATGGGCCCGCCCTTGGGTGACCCAAACCACCTCCCGGGTGCTCCTGGTGCAAAAGTGTTGCGAGAATTGCTTCAATGTTGCAGCACATACACCCTGAACACGAAAGCTCAAACCCTAAAACCCTCAAGCCTAAACCCTAAACCCATTAAAGAGCTGTTTCAGGGTGCTGTGTGAGTACGTATCTGTATACATATCTATCTATCTATCTATCTATCTATCTATCTATATATATATATATACATGTAGATACACATATATGTATCTATGTACATATATGTGTGTCTGTGTGTGTGTGTATATGTACAGGTATATGTGCATATCAGCATATCCTCACATTTTCATCTCAGCATATCCATGTATGTATGTATGTACGTACGTACGTACGTGTGTCTGTGTATGTGTGTATGTGCGTATGTGTGTATGGGTGTATGGGTGTATGGGTGTATGTATGTATGTAT